ACACACGTATATATACATATATATACACACACACACACACACACACATATATATATATATATACACATACATACATACATACATACATATATATATATATACACACACGTATATATACATATATATACACACACACACACACACACACATATATATATATATATATACACATACATACATACATACATACATATATATATATATACACACACGTATATATACACACACACACACATACACACACACACACACATATATACACACACACAAATATATACACATACACAAATATATACACATATATACATATACACATATACACACATACAAACATACATACATGAGATCTCCGGAACTTAAAATATATTACCCACTTAGGTTAGTTCACTATATATATATAATACATTTAATATATAGTATTATTAACATAATAAATATAATATCTCTTTAAAAAAAGGAAAAATGGTGCTCCTCTGGGCTTTTCTTTCCATCAAGTTAACCACACACCATCAGCAAAAGGCCGGTATGTGGCACTTCGGTTTGGCAAATCTGAAAGGGGGAAAAAAAGAGTGCCCCTGAGCATACGCAGAGTGCTATTCTCCCTTTAAGAGAGGGAAGCCCGGTTCCTCGCCGTTATCAGAAGGAGAGGAAAAAGAAAAAAAGAAAACGAGCACGAAAAAATTTAAGCTATAGGATTTTTTCCCCCAGACCCCAATGTTGGGAGAAAAATAAAATAAAATAAAGCATCTTGCAAAGAGGTGCAGAAAGTATTCCCCCCCCCTTTCCTCCTGTATCCAAATACCCACGATGAAACAAACGCCCGTCTTTCTTCCCCCAAGTCGATAATGGAGACCGAAACGGGGAGGAAAAAAAGGACGTCCCAGCAACGGAGGGCGATGCAAGAAAGCAAAGGCGAGATCCCTTCCGAGCATGTGCAAAGCGCACTTCCTTCCCCGCAAGATCACGCGCGGCGTCCCTTCTCCTTTCCTCCAAGCGCAAAAAAAGGACAAGGGAAATCTGTCGGGGGGAGAGAGGCGGCCGCGATTCGCGGGAGGGGAAACGGCCTCTGAGCATGTGCAGAGTCCCTCTTGCGCTCTTCACCTCCGGGCGTGGTTTCCAGGCCGGGAAGGCCTTCCCTTTCAAGAAAGGCGGACGCGAGGGTCGGCGGGGCAAGGAAAAGCGGGGAGAGAAAGCCCGGGGAAAGGTCGTCCCTCCAGGCAGCCGCTGGGCCGGGCCTTCGCCATTCCTTCGGGAGGTGGAACGTCTTACACGGCAAACTTGGGACCGGGTCGGACGCTTTATTGGCTTCCCCCCCCTTCCGGGGGAACCCTGGGAGTTGTAGTTCGCCGACGCCGGGAGGGCTCCTCGGGCGGGCGGCCTTTCGGGCCCTTCGCGGACTGCATTTCCCAGGATCCCTCGCGAGCGACAAAGGTGCTCGCGGCTGACAATGGCCCGCCGTGAGCGCCTGCCGCAGAGAGCCCGGCTTGGCTTGCAAAAAGCAAAAGCCCGAGTTTTCTTCGGTGGCGATCCGGACGCCGGTCCCGCGAGTGGAGGGGATCCCGGCTCGACACCGAATTAAGATCCTCGCGCCGCGCAAACTTGCCGCGAGGTTAGCTTTTTTTTCCTCCAGACTTTGCACCGTGCACTCGCCGTTCGCAGGGATGCAGGGCAGCTAGTCCTCGACTTGCAACGGTTCGTTTAAGTTAAGTTGCAAGGGCACTGGGGAAAAAAAGTGACTTGGGCCTGCTTTTTTTCCACACTTACGACCCTTTGCGGCGTCCCCGTGATTGCATGATCAGAAGTCAACTGGTTTGTATTTATGACGGTTGCAGTGTCCTGGGGTCACGTTTTGCCACCTTCTGACAAGCAATGGGGAAACCACATTCACTTAACAACGATGTAACTAGTTTAACAAATGCAACGATTCATTTAGCGACTGTGGCAAGAAAAGTGGTGAAGTGGGGTCAAAACTCGCTTAAGAATGTTGCACTTAGCAACAGAAATTTTTGGCTCCATTGTGGTCGTAAACCAAGGACCACCTGTACTCTCTCCTATAGGTAATCCTCAATGTACAACAACAACTGGGAGCAAAGTGGTTGTACTTCAAGGACTACCGCCTACCTTCAGAAGAAGTGAGGTTGCTTTCTTACCCCAGCGACGAGTTGTAACAATCGCTCTCCGTTCCCCAGGGCCCTCTGATGGTCAGTAGAAGAGGGTCAGGAGAGAGGCATCGGGACTGGCAGAGGGGTTGAGGAAGGGTTAACTAAGTAAATCCCCCCCCTTGCAGTGTTGGGCCCTTTGTCTGCTAGGTCTATGGAACAGGTAGAGGTTCAACAGGTGTGATCATTCCAACACACTTTCGTTTCCTAGTGAAATGTGAAACTTTCAACATCAAGTTACTATATTTTATTATCTTGTACATTATATTATAAAATTCCCAATTCATTCTAGTCAGTTATTATATACATATAGTAGTGTAAGTTCGTTTGTCTAGAAGGTGCCACAAAAAGTCACTTTTCTTACATATTACCAAGACACTANTTTTAAGATGTGTGGATTACAAGTCCCAGAATTCTGTCCAGCTGGAGAATTCTGGGAGTTGGAAGTTCACATGCCTTAAGTTGCCACGGTTGAGAAACACTGTTTAAGAAGCAGACAATAGATGTAGAGATGCCCATGTTGACCCAAACCATCTTTGTCCATTTCAGATCAGATTACCTTGTTTTCGACAGTTCCTCTTCTGCCCCCTTATAAACCATACTTCCAATTTCTATGATCATATTAAGGCTTTTAATGCGTTAAGGATCTTGTCTGCAGTATCTCAGATAGGCATTAGAGGGCAGCAAAGAGACAGAGGCAATATTCCTGCCACCTAGTGGTTCCCTTGTGTGTCGGTAGCCCAGATCTGGTGGCCTAATTTAGATGGAAAATTTGGTGTCTGAATTTCCAATCATCTGAAAGCATAGCATCGGTCAACCAGGGCCACAGAGCTACTGTCACGTTAATAGTTAATTTCTACAGATTGCAAAAAGAGAGATACACACTCTTTCGTCTTAAGGGATCAGGGAAATTTCCTCCCCTGATCACTGACCCCTCTCTCCTTCCCAAATTCTTACTTGCATTTTGTCCCCCGCAATCTTGTCGATTCCGACATTCATGGTAAAACTGTTTCGATCTTCCGCAAAAAATGAGGCGACTGGAAAAGAAAGGAAGGGAGAGGGGAAAAAAGCAGTCAGGAGAGAAAATGTTTGAAGGGATCTTCAAACCCAGGAAAAAGGGAAAGGGAAAAAAAGAAGAAAGTGATAAAAGCAATTGTCCCATTATGACAAAGGAAGTGACTGACAGAACATTTGCAAAATAGCATATAATACAATGCAACATAGTAATGTAATATACAACAGAGTAATATATTCTAATAATATAATAAATACCATATATATGTAATATAATGTAATGTAATATTCTAATGTAATGTATGTATGTATGTGTGTATATATACACATACATATACATANTCTCTTTTATAATCAGGAGAGGATCTTAATGAGCATCAGCTGAACGTAATCACCTCCTGTAATTATGCAGTTGTTCTAGCCCTTCAACGGCGTGCATCCTGGAACAACTCACAGGTGGGGTTTTTTTTCCTGGATCACTCACTCTTGTCTCCTCCCCACTGATCCAAAGTTCAGGCGCCACCTGGTGGCCAACCAGTCTCTCATCGCCCTGCTCGGAGTCAGAACCCTGTCCAGGGTCCTCCATCTCCTCCAAGGCCGACTCATAACACCCCTCTAACAGCTCCTGCCGGGCCACAACATCTCTCTAATACCAAAACTCACTGGACTAGTCCCCCTTGCTTAGCCCAACCCACCTCACAGGAGTATTATGCACTCAAGCTCCTGAATGACAGGCAGAACGTAAGTAAATAAAAAAAATATATTAGCCTATATTTTGCTCCAATCAATACAATTGCAGTTTGAAATTAACATAAAATCTGCCTGCCAACCTAGGGAGAAATTACTCTAAAATACCTCCTTGTGGTTTCTGTCTGCCTCCTTTTCTGTCACCAAGGCCTTAGCGCTTTTACCCTGCTCCATTTTCATCCCCTGCAGCTCCTTGCAAGAAAATGGACAAAATGGGGGGGAAAAGAGACTGTTCACATCTCCAATCAGAGAAGCATGGATTATTTTGAGATTGCAAGATTTCAACAAAACCACAGGCCTGTAATGTATTAGTTCCATTGTAGAATTCCAGCATAGAAAGCTCCCAAATTGCTTTGGATGGTCAGATGGTTGGCGTATAATTTAATAAATATAAATAAGTAAGTATTTTAGCAATTGTGGAGGAAGTGTGTGAGATTGTGGGCACGTTGGGGGAGTGTGTTAGAAGCTTCTCACCCAAAGGACAGCCCAGGTGGAATGACAGCTGGGGAGGAAGCATTGCAAACAGCTCCCCAAGAGACCAACTTGATCAACTTGCTAGAAATAAGGTTGGGATATTCTTCTAGAAACAAGGCCAGGTTCTAGATTCCCCCACCACTCCCAGTGATCACTAAGGATCCTGTCCTGGAATTTCTTCTAATTTCTTCAACTTTCCTCAAACAACTATATGGTGTTTGCCCTCTGATTGGGAAACTTTAAAAGGCATTTAACAGAATAAGAGTTGGGAGGGACCTTTGAGGTTCTTCTAGTCCAGGGGTCAGCAAAATGCGGCTCCGGAGTCGCATGTGGCTCTTTCCTCCCTCTGCTGCGGCTCCGTCACCGATCGCCGTCCCAATTTTGAGAGGAGCTTCCGGTGGGAGGTGGGGGAGAGAAGCAGAGTGTGCTAGGAGAAGACTCTATGGCAAGGGGAGGGTTTTCCAGTTGTCTCCACAATTGATAGGGCTTTCGGTTATGACAGATAGAGGAAAAAGTATGCCGCACTAGGAGGAGACTCTATGGTGTGGGGGAACTGAACTTCCGGTCAGCTCCAGAATTGAACAAGGGGCTTCCGGTTAGGACCTTTGCCATTCCCGGTGTTTTCTTTTCTGTAGGAAACGGGTCCAAATGGCTCTTTGAGTATTTAAGTTTGCCGACCCCTGTCCTAAACCAGTGGTCTTTCCAGCTGAGGGGGTGAAGGCAATGGGGGGAAAAGCGGGGGTGGTTTTGCACAGAGGCATACTGCTTTCACAAATGCAGATGTGTATGTACGTGCTTGCATTCACGTGCTCATCCATGACTTCAGCCCAGTTCCTAATGGGCTATGGACCATCACCAGATACATATACTGCAGGTTGGAGACCCTGCCCTACATAACACCAACATTATCATAGCTTCCAGTATCTAAGGGTTTGCCACAAAGAAGAGGGGATCAACCTATTCTCCAATTCTCCAAGGTTCGCCTGGTGCGCCAGTTGCGACCCTACCTGAACCGGGAGGCTCTCACAACAGTCACTCGGGCCCTTGTGAC